CCTGAATTCTTTTAAAAAAACTTCCTCCAGACGATGGTTATGCTGCTCAGGCGTTATCCCTGTAATTAGCACATCATCCATGTAATAAAATACACCCTCTAGTCCCTGGAAAACGGACGCCATGGTTCGCTGAAAAATAGGCGCTGACACACTTAACCCAAATGGTAATCTACAAAAAGCGAACAGCCCTTTGGGAGTCGTGATCGTCAATAATTTACGAATCTCCTCCCTCAAAGGTAATTGTAAATAGGCGGACGAAAAATCAACCTTTGAAAAATATTTCGCTCCCTTCAACTGGGCCAAAATTTCCTCAATTCGGGGTAAAGGATATTTAACCTCTACTACCCATCGATTAACGGTTACTCTGAAATCAGCACAGAGTCTCAATTTACCATTTGATTTCTTAACCGGTACCAACGGGGTTGCCCATACACTATATTCCACTGGAACAATGATACCATCTTTAACCCATTGATCCAATTCTTCGTCAATTTCCTTTTTCCATTCAAAAGGGACTCGCGACGACACGCTAGGAAAATAGGTGCAAATCCTTCCCTTAATTTTATATCTACTTGATAATCATTAAGACAACCTAATTTGTCTTCGAAAATTATTTCATACTTCTTCATTAAACGAGATATATTTTCACTCATTTTATGTAATTCAGGAATACCAATAGCCACCACTGGGGTTTTATCAATGCTAATGTTGTTTTCAACCATTAATTCCGTGGACTTTACATACCAATCAGAATTATGGGTTGAATCATTTTGTTTTATGGTTAAATCCTTCCCTTCTATTTCACAGATATTTTTTAGAGCGTTATAAGCAATATTTTGGTCCTTCGGGTTAATTATGACCGAACCATTATGTAGGGCAAAAATATTCCAATAATTACTGAAAGGACCTAACTGAACAATCCAATCCCACCCCATGATGGTTTCCACATCTTTCTTTACTACCCATAAATCTAGGAAAAATGTGGTATCATGAAGAATTACGCCCAATTTAGTTTTTCCCAAAACAACTATTATCTCAGACCCATCAAATTGTCTGACGCACATAGATTCTTTCTCAATCTTACCTTTAGGCCAATACTTAAAATAATTTCTTCGAGACATTATAGAAATGCTAGCCCCTGTGTCGAACAACATGTCAATATCCCTAGAGTCAACTCTTACGATAACTCTTGGACAAGGACGAGGTTCGACTAATCTTTCAGTCATTAAAATATCATATGTTTTAATTGACGGATCAATATTAATCTCATCTGAAACATCAGTTTCATGAGAATTCTCATTTGAACATAAATTCAACTCGGAATTTAGTGGTTCCTTAACAATATTCATATTGTTTTTTTTTATATAACTGGGATATTTTTCCCATCTGAAAATATTCATATTCCTTTCATCGGAATATTTAACAATACCCAAAGGATATTTCTCCCATTTAAATTCATTAGAATCTTTATTATTTTTATCATCATAAATTAAAAAATTTCGGTTATTATCATGGTTATTTACTTTATTTTATTTTTTTTCCATCCCGATCTCCTACCTACTATATGATTACATTTGCAATCATATAGTCAATTTTTGATACAGTTTATGGCTACATGTCCCGGTTTGTTACATTTAAAACACAAACGGGATTTGCCATAATTCGGTCGTAAAACATCAAATTTATTCGTGTTAGTACCAGAAATTTTTCTAACATTAAAATTTTCTGATGCCAATCTCCTTAACGGAAAACCTTCACGAAAATTTTGTTCTTTGACTACGCAGGTCTCTACCTTGTGACCCACATACCCACAACGGGTACATTTCAAATCTTCAAAAATTTTCTTATGACCTGAAAAGCCATTCTTTTCAATGGAAATATTTTTTCCATCTGTCCATGTCGGACCACGCACCTGGCCTTTATTACTATTACTATTAGCCATAACCAACGTATTCATATCCTGATATATAATCTTAATCATGTCTTTTAATTCTTTCAATTCCTGGAGGATAACTATAGATCTCTCCACACTATCTATCCAAACGATCATCGTTATTATCTTTCATCATTTCCACCTTTTCAGGTCTGCCGTTCTTGATTTCATTTAAAATTCCATTTAAACTACTTTCCAAGACCGAAATCTTTTTCCAACAATCAGCCGACACCGGAGTGTCTATTTTCCAATTACCATATACTCTAGTCGCGCCCAGAGTACATTTTCCAAACAAAAATTTTATTGTAATATATAACACGTACAGTAGAACCAACAATAAAATTGTCACTACGGCATTATTTACATCAAATTTATCAACCATTTGATACAAACTTTGATAAGTAATACTCGGATACTCCGAAATTTTATCAAATACGCTAGGCTCAATATCAAAATTAAATATAAAGCCCATCTCATTATATGAAAAATTTATATTACCTTAAAACGGCCTTGTTCAATTTTTAAAAAATTTAAACAAAAATGTGATTGCGTTGTGTTCTGAGGTGAGATACAAAATATAAAATAAAATATTTTTTCTTTACCTTTGAAATACCGAATAACCCTGGAATCTAAACAATCCTGGTGGTCTCGGTCACCAATGACAAAAAACCGAAAATAAAGAGGAAACAAGAGGTTCAAATATTAATTATATCAGAAAAATTACTAAGACTAAATTCTACTATAAAGCTAAACTCAGAATGCAAACTATCAAATTAAATGCTAGGCAAACTAATCTTCGGATCTATATCTTTATTAAATAAAACTATATCAAATTACAAAGGTAAAAAATTAAAGGCGCAAAATATTATCATAATTTAAAAAGGTTTTATTACCATCAAAAAAAAGGTTATCAAAAATTTAAAAGTCACAAAAATATAAAAATCGAAAAGTCATAAAAAAAAAGTGTTTCTTTGTTCAACAAAAAAATATAAACAAAAATCTTTGTCAGAAATGACTGACATTTGGTTAATTAAAAACTAATATATTTATATATTTATAAAATTGATTGATATTTCTACTAAAATGGGTATCATTTATGACAAACATCACTGGAAAATAATTTATGATATTAATCTCTAAATAAAATGGAAGTCCAGGAAGAAAATTGAAAGAAAAACGCGAAGAAAAAATAAATGATTCCACGAAAAAAAGTGAATAAAATTTAAAAAAATATTTTTATGACACCTAGAATCCTTGGAGTCCACTTTTAAAAAGGGTCCCGATTCGGGTACAACCAAAATACGAGGGTCCGGGTTCGGGTCCACATCCTAGAATAAAGGTTTATCATAATGTATCTTAAAAGTATCTATAAACAGATGCAGATACCTCTGAAATAGTATATAGATATTTTTTATACAACTCTGATAATCTTTATAAATTTTCAATAATATAATTATAAACATTAATTATTGCTTTTAAAAAAGAAAAAAATTTTATTTAAAAAAAGTAAGGAAAAAAATAAAATATAAAATTTTTTTTTCTCTTTTATTTATTAAAAAAATAAGCATTTTTTTTATTTGCTTCCCCAATGCTTATTTTTTAAATATAAAATTACATAATATTTTTTCTTTATTTAGTAAAAAAAAGGAGCAATATTAAATTTGCTTCCCTCATACATTTTTTTTTAACGTAGTAAATTTCTTAACGTGTAAAAATAATAGTAATTCTTCTTAACGTAGTAAAAATAATAATAATATTTTTAACCTTATAAAAAGAAATCATATTAATTCTTTTAACGAAGTTAGATTAGTTTTTTTTTAAACATTATAAAGATTATTAAGTTTATTTTAGAATTTTATAGGAAAAGTTTCAAGGGAAGCAATTCTCCCCTTGCTTCTATGGAAGCTTCGTCACTGGTCCCTCCACAGACATGATAGTAATCAAAATTTTATTTGTAATTCCTTAAATTGACTTTCTAGAAATTATACACAGGCTTGCCAATTGTTTATCGAGTTGCTTAAATGTATGAAAGAAACGAGCTTATTGTTTTAATATATTTTTAAATTAACTGTCCATCTAAAGCAATTACCAAACACAACGTTAAATATAAAATGTTTCCAAAAAGTATAATATCAGTTTCTTTTAAGTTCTAATTTAAAAGGTACTTGATTGAAATATTTATTATATAATATAACTATATCCTGTTAATGATTTATTTTAGATATTGTATTTCATAAACCTATTAGCAATAGCATAAATAAGGAGGGAGGAATACATGAAGGGGCTCGAACCCCTTCAAAAATTTGAATAGCCCATCTGAACGAAATTTTTTTAATGATTCCCTAATAGCTCCCAGAACGAAATAAAAATTTTGATAGCCCATTCAACGATTTTAAAAAAAAATCCTATTATGTATTATATAAAGATTTGATATTATTTTCAAAAATAAGTCTATATGAATTTTAATTAAATGAGTGCTATTTTAATTATTAGATTAATAGTATAAATTATATTTTCACTACGTTAACAATTGCAATCTAATTTAGTGTTAAAAATGGAATAACAATATCACTCATCATTATAATAATTTTATATTTTTTATATGTATATTAATATAGAATTATGAATTCTATTTTCATATTACAAAATTATTAGTTTTTGAAATTCGTTATTAAATAGATATTAAATTTGACATATTATATGACAAATAATAAATATTTATATACTTAATAATAACGTCTTAATATCAATCAATCATTAACAGTTGAAACATGATTGATTTATATCATTTTAATTATTCTATAACCCTATTTAAATAAATATAATTATTTATTAATTGAAAATAAAATAAATCCAATTTAATATTGTGATTTGTATTAGCCGAGTTCAAATCACTAATCAACTATATTACACATTTTAAAATTAATTTACTACACCTCTTGTTATGAAAATTTCTAAGATCTAAACCGGTATATAAAATTTCTTTGTTAAAACTTACTCATTTATTTTATATTAGAAATTGAAGGAAGAGATTTATTTTGAGATGATGATTTAAATAATGGAAATGGAAGCAATATTGATGTTGATAGACAAAAGAAGAGGGGGCAATGAAGAATTGGAGTTGAACAAAGTATATTTAATTAAAACATTTTTAACTCATTTATTTTATATTTATAATGAATAAAGAAGAGCTGATTTTGTGATGAAAGCTTTATATAATGGAGATAGAAGCAATATTGATATGGATGATATTTTAGACAAAAGAAGATGAGGTGATGAAAGAGTTGGTTAAACAAAGTATATGTAAAATGTAGTTTTTCAAACTATGCTTTAAATAATAAATGAAGAGTAATTGTAGTTCTGAGAGGTATGAACATTGAGAGCAAAAATGTTAAGAGAAAGAAAATAGGTAAATTAATTTATATACAAGATATTTTATTTTTAAAATAATAGAAGCATGGGTGATTCCACGTCAAATCGACCAAAAAAACGAAATTTTCGGCCTACCATCTCAAAAATGAATGAAACTTGGCATGTTAGTTATTTATGTTGTAAACGTTAATATAATCAAAATTTTTGAGTGCTAGCTTAACCAGATCCAAAAATATACCCCTTCAAAGTCGAAAATCGCGAAGTGCGAGATTTCATTAAATCTTGTTATTGTAAAAAATACTTAAGATAGAGTTACAAATTATATATCATTTTATAGCCCTTAAAAACGTTGGAAAATAATAAAAAAAATTAAAAATTTCAAGTGTTTTCTTATTTCCGGTAAAAACAAAAAATTAACATTGTTAGGAAGGGATTTTTTGGGGGTGTTGATATTCACTAAAAATGTTTATTACCTTTATTTTAAACGAAATCTCGATAGCCATTTTTGTTTTTTTTAATTTTATTTGAATTTTTATTATTTTTATAAATAGAAAAATGCATAGATGGCGTTATATTAATTTTTTTATAATATATAATTTTTAATAAAAATATGAATAGTATTGTTATTAAAATTAAAAAATCAGTTGAGTATAACCAAGAAGGATGTCCTGGGGCGATATATTAGCAGGCAGCCCATACAGATATTATTTTATTGACGCTATATTGTAAAATAAACATATTTTAAAATTTTATATTCAAACTATTATAATTTTACGCTTATTAATAGAAATTCCTAAGGCCATATGTTGTGGATCTACTATCGTTATTATTTGAAAATAACGATTTTATCAGCTAATTTTTTTTTTATTCCTATCATCTCTACCAATCAATCATCATATATTTCAAAACTTAAACTTTTTTTACAACCAAATGAATTTGTGATTTCTCTGAAAATTATGCATTTACAATCCAAGACGCTGTTCAAAGATTCCACTAGAATAATAATCAAGCCACTATCCATCATATGATAGCATATTATTATAATAATGGTAATATCAGAATCACTTCAACATAATGTTATTGAAGTACATTTATACCAGACTAAAATGATAAAATTTCTGACCAATCAATTCAGCAAAAAGCCAAACAAAATATATTACTTGCTCTGACGGATCAGCTGCGCAATATAAAAACAGAATTTTTTTTATAAATCTGTGTTATCATAAATCAGATTTTGGTGTAGCAGTTGAATGGCATTTTTCAGCTACATACCATGGAAAAGGTCCATGTGACGGCCTTGGCGGAACATTAAAAAGATTAGCAGCACGTTCCTTCAGCGCATCAGTTCTGGACACATTTTAACGCCAATTGATTTATATCAATTTGCAAAACAAAACATGCAATCAGTAAATTTTACATATATAACCAACGGACAATACAATTTACAAGAGATTAAACTACGAGAAAGATTCAATTTAGCTCGTCCCATTCCAGGAACACAGGAAATACATGCTGTATTTCCTTTGAGTTTAAGTAAACTTAAATCAAAAATTATTCATATGTAGAGGATTTTCAAATTAACAATATCTAAAATGCCGATAATTTGTCTTTTGCAATTTGTCTTTTGCAATTTGTCTTTTGCCGATATTAAAGGATTCGTAGCATGATGTGTTTATGACGATTTTTGGTGTTTAGCCTTAGTACTAAAAAAGAATAAAATTGAGATATATATTTCCTTTTTACATTACCATAGACCATCACCATCCTTCTTTTACCCTACAATTGCGGAAAAGATATGGTTACCCATTAATCAAATAATAACAATAGTAGATCCTATTACAGTGACAGGGCCTACCTACAAATTATCGTCTCAAGAATATCTACTAATAAGCACAAAATGAGATAAGATTAAAACAAGAGGTATTTATTTTTTTATTGTTTGTGTATAAAATTTAAAAATATGTTTATCAATATAGCATCCTAATAAAATCATATCTGTATGGGATGCCTGCTTACATATCGCCCCAGGACATCCTTCTTGGTTATACTCAATTGATTTTTTAATTTTAATCACAATACTATTCATATTTTTATTAAAAATTATATATTATAAAAAAAATTCTATATAACGCCATCTATATTGCATCTTTTTTTTATATAAATAATAAAAATTTAAATAAAATTAAAAAAACAAAAATGGCTATCGAGATTTTTCATTAAATCGTTTAAAATAAAGTAAAGGTAAGCATTTTTTAGTGAATAACAACACCCAAAAAAAATCCCTTCCTAATAATGTTAATATTTTATTTCTACCAGAAATAAGAAAACACTTGAATTTTTTGAATTTTTTTTATATTTTCCAACGTTTTTAGGTGCTATAAAATGATATATAATTTGTAACTCTATCTTAAGTATTTTTTAAAATAACAAGATTTAATGAAATCACGCACTTCGCGATTTTCGACTTTGAAGGCGTATAGCTTTGGATCTGGTTGAGCTAGCACTTAAAATTTTGATTTTATTAACATTTACAACATAAATAACTAACATGCCAAGTTTCATTCATTTTTGAGATGGTCGGCCGAATCGCTGGTCGATTTGTCATGATAACCCATATGTGAGGCTCAATGTGAAGATATCCATCATGGTATTAAATTTTCTCATGTAATTAAAAATAAATTTAAATATAAGCATGAATTCTGATCAGGATCCTATAGTCTGATTGTCGGTAGAATATTTTTTCATCACTTTTATAATTCTTTACTAGCAAATTTTTTTTTATAATTGAAATCATTAATGCTCTTTGATATTATATATTATAATATATATTCTGCAATCGCAAATATTAATTACTGTAATAAATTGATAAATAATTTATATTAAAAAATATTATTTTTGAAGTCTTATATTGTTTTACTTATTATTTATATTATATGCCAGTATTAGTGTGTATGCATAATAAATGACAAAATATGAATATTATTTCTTCAAATTCAATTTAAAAAGTTTATTATATTTTTTAAAAAAACCTGATAAAATTTTATTAATTGAACCTCCTGGGATTGTAAAGGCTAGAGACGCTCTTGCTTATTAGTTTATAATAATTATAATAAATACATAAAGTAAAAATCACTAAATAATATATTATATACATCATTGACGTACGCAGCGGGGAGGGCAGGGAGACAAATCCCCCCCCCCCAAGGCAAAAAATGCAAGTGCCGGATATATTTTTCAAAAATATTATTGTTTATATTAATTTATATTTGTTAATATTTATTCGTATCTCACATTAAATATATATTTAATTACATTTATTATCACATTTATCTACTGTTATTTTATCAATTAATTTCGATTTCAAGTTTTCCGGGGTAATATTTACTTATTATTTTCAAATTTTTAGTGGCGTAATATTTATCTACCATTTTCAAATTTCTAGTCAAATAATAATTATTTCTGAAACTTATTGTTCAACAGGGAAAAAGAAATTGCAACCTTGTCCAACGAGATAGAGTCTCTGCCATCAAGCATTAACAGCTTTTAAGGAGTTAGAAGAGCCAATTATTTGCTATTACTGAAATATCATGGCCTGAAAGAAATATTTCCTCAGAAGTAAGAAAATTATTGGATTCAATGCTTATTCCAAATTTTATTTCTCATTAGAATGTAATATTTAATTATACAACTATTTTAAGTATTACTTTTCATAAACATGACATTGACTTGATTAAGAACATGAGAATAGCGGAGAGCATTTTATCAGAACTCAAGGAAATTTGTTTCCCTCGACTTGTAGCAAGGCAAGCTCATCGTTAAAACATTAATATAGGATCAGTAGAAGAGTATATCTTAAATACAGATACATTTATAACCCAAATAAATGAATTTTTAATTCATCATGCAACACTTACTAATCTGCAAATAAGTTCCACAAAAGATTTCCCTACCTTTTTTCAGATAGTGATAGAAAAAAAATATTTGCTAGATTTTTATTATGAAGATGTTAAAGTATCTTATGATGGCTTACTAGCTGAATAACTATGTTTATAAGATTAACTATGGTTGATATAGTCCCAAAAAATGCTATGGATGCTCTGCATTATTTCAAACACATTTTAGATTAAATTCCCAATGTATTAAAAGGCTTTATAAACTCTTCCCATTAGTAAACTAATGAGAAAACATTCTCTTTTTTAAGAAGAATAACAGAGGCCTGCAGAAGTACCATTTGCAGGGCACGGCCCGGATGAAAATTTTCAGGCCCGGCCCGGATTTTTTAAAAATAAATTATATTTATTTTTGATTTTTATAGCTATTAATAACGATTTGAAATATAGGCTGTTTTAAAAAATACAGTCCGGATTGGGTGTATTTTTAAAATAATTCAGGCCCGGCTTGAGTGTTTTTTTAAAAAAATTTCGGGCCCGGCCCCGTTATATATAAAAAAATTAAAATACTCTCCGGCCCGGGGGCCGGGCCTGCAGGTCTCTGAAAAACATACCAAGAAGTACAACATCTGAAAGTAGATTGAAAGGTTTGGATTTTTTGAATATTCATAGGCATTTGACAACAAGCAAGGATGAGATAATTGAAAAATTAGCTCAATCACAACGAAGATTGGATTTTACATTGTAAATGTATAACATACAAAATGCAATTATTCCTTAGAAACTTTTTGTGTAAAGGCTCAAAAAATTCAAAATTCTATTTTGGGTTATTTAAGTGATTCTTTACATATAATTTTTTATAATTCACATTAATTTAAAATTGTGTATTAGAAATAGTTATTAGCCCTAATATATTTATGCTTGATATTTTTAAAAAATAATAATATTTTTTTTAAAAATTTATTATCCCCTCCCCCCAGACCAAATTCCTGCGTACGCGCCTGATTGTAAACATTTTTGAGAGAAGAGGTTACG